ATACGCAGGATGCCGAGCTCGGCGTCGCGGTACGAGAGGATGCGGTCCGCAAAGCTGAGCTCCCACGCCTGGAGCTTGAGCACCTTGATGCCGGCGAGCACTTCGTAGCAGAGCTTGCCGCGCGTGTCTTTGACGGAAAGCAGCGACGACTGGAGGCGCCGCATGATCTTGGAGAGGAGCGTCGTGATCGGAATGACGAGGAGGATGACAGCAAGACCCGCCAGGAACGCGACGCCAAGCTCGTTGTAGAGAAGGGTACAGGCAACGACGAGGAGGTATGGGACGACCCAGATCGTGTGGAGGTCCAGCGTCAGTCGTTGGAGCCGAGCGGCGTCGATCGACATCAAGTTGGAGATCTGGCCGGTCGAGGTTTCCTGCAGTGCTTGGGTCGAGAGCTGGAGCGACTTGGCGTAAATGGACGTGACGATCGCGCTGCGGATCTGAAGGCCGGTTTCCTTGCAGTAGTACACGTACTGGCGGAAGCAGAACGACTGGATGAGACCCGAGACAAAGATGAGAGCGACGAGCTCCCAGCCCGTCGCGATGGAAGCGTCGTCGTCGCGGAGGAAGGCGATCATGCGCTTGATGACGAACGGAGCGACAAACTGCAGCGAGTCGCGCACCAAGCGGAGGAGACCGGCCCAGAGGAACTTGGTGCCGAACGCTCCGAAGAGCGCACGCAGGATGCTGGGGCGTGGACGCTGCCGCTGAGCCGCCCACTGCTTCTCAAAGGCGACGGCAACATTGGTCGCACGGTTGCAGCGATCGAGTCCGTAGAGATCGTCGGCTTGTAGAGGCCGCGAGCTTCCGAGCTCCATGATCGGATTGAGCCACGTGAAGAAGACGGCGGCGCGCCACCCATCGCTGTCCTCGGGGCACGTCTCGGCGAGACTCTTGTGCTCGAGCAGCGGCGTGGACTCTCGACCCATCAGCTTTCAATCTCGGAAGAAGGCTGCCGATCTCCGGGATGCCACTCGACCAATGGCAGGGCACTACTACTCTGCAAGCTCAACAATCCTGGCCAAGAAGGTTGGCCACCAGCGTTCTGCCCAAGATCGCGTCGGGCAAGCGAGGTCGAAGTACCGGTAGGTCTGATAGACTGGTCCGCCTCCACGTGGCAGCACCAGGAGCAAGGCATGTCAACCCTGGGATTTCCTCGGCCTTTCACGCACGGTGTAGCTCTGTCGTAGAGGCGAGGCTCCAACTCCTGAACCACGCGGGCCGATCGACGCGGCGTCTCTTCAAGACGCTGAGGAGTGTAGACGAGGCGTGCCATTTTGGGTGCCACTCTGGCCAACGACGAGCGACGACGACGACACATTTAACGTGGCGCGTCGATACGTCTGAGAGTGAGTTTTAATGGCCGAGTGATCAATCGAATGGTTCTACGTGGCGCCAATCCGACCGGTCCTGTCTATGTCTCATGCGCAGGAGGCTATAGCAACAGCATCCTGGCTTGGATCAGACGCTATCGAGAGCCCAGTCATCATCACGCACCCAGAGACCTGTCGCTTGAGTCATCCATCCCAGCCTCGTGTACGTGGATCCCACCACCACCCATGGTGATAGTAGAGCTCAAGCGCAGGCCTCCGCGGTTCCCAATGACAGCATCGCCAACGAGGTAGGACGACCCTAGAAATAGGACCCTTAATCCGTAAAATAACGAGAACACTCAGTTCAACAACAGTATCGCCAACGTGGTCTCGCCTCCAAATGACCAAGTACAAAATGTTGGCCTGACACGGACGGGTACAGTCCCGGCGCTGTCGAGACTGTCGGCCAACGAACGACGAGTGGCTTCGTCGACAAAGAGGCGGCAGCCAGGACTCGGGTGTATGCAGCATCGGCGCACGCACGCCACGCCGGGTAGAGTGGCACGATGGACGGGTGCGATGGACCACCCGACAGCCGCATGCCGCTTCTTTTTGGCGGCGAGCTCCTCCCGAAGATGGTCGAATCAAGTCCAAGTTAAGAGACACCACCCATCCCCTTTTGGATGCAAGCCCGTACCCGCGAGTAGCGGTCGCTCGTTGGCCGCGCCATCAAAGCTGCAGCGTCCACGCAGCTGGCCGTCGCAGCGTCGCGCCATCCGCCTCATTGGCCCATCGTCGATGGTTTGCATCCGCCGATCACACCAGGTGGCGCCTCCGACAGATGCTGCGTGTATGAGGCAGGCCATCTGATATCAACGTGCATGGGAAGGGGCGGTACTACCTACTGCGAGGATACAGTACGCTGCCACAACGCCGATGAGAAGGAGGTTGATCGTCGCCTGTCGGCGCGCTCGTGTCTCTGTCCAGCTACTTGCATGCGGGCGGCCGATCTACCGAGCACGTTGTACGACCCACGGCGAATGCTGAGGCTCGAGCAAAGAAGAGTCATGGCGGTCGTCGCACTCGTCGGCGTTGGTGTCTCTTGCAATCGGACGGACGGACGCCGTCGTTACTCGCTTCGGGATGCGGCTAGTGGTGGACGATGCGCCAAGCGCTCGGCAAAGCTCCCACTCTCTCGCGGACCGGCTGCGCGACCTGTTGGACGAAGTTGTTGCGTAGCGGGTACGTCGACGAAGCGGTCCATTTCGCAATTGACCATGACCTCGACCAAGCAGCCCACGCGCCAGACAATCAAGCGCCGCAACGACCGCCGCCTCGCAGACGACAAGGCTGGCTTCCAGCGCTGCCGCTACAAGACGGGCACGTGCACGAACGAGCGCGCTCGCAAGCCCAACGACATGTACCACTCGCTCTGCGAGAAGCACCGCCTCCTCCACAACTTTAACCAGCGCAACTTTGACCGCAAGAAGCGCGCAATCCGCAAACTGCTCGAGGAAGAGGACACGCCATCGAGCCCTTCGTCGTCGGTATCGACGTCGACCGACGACGACGACCTCGAGGTCGCGGTCAACTTTGAGCCGCTCATGTACCCGCAGAGCCACGTTGCGGCGCCGCGCTGGACGGACGAGGACTTGTATATCCTCAAGGCGTTCCTCAACTAGGACGGCCATACTGTAGTTTAGCTATTTAATGCATCGCTTCCCGTTTGTGATGTCATCGAACGTGTTGCAATCGCGTCAGACGAGCTCTCGCTGGCCACAGCTACGGTACATGTGGCGACGGACGACGACGTCATCTAATCGGGCGCTGGAAGGGCCAAGCCAGCCAGCTCGTTGTCCCATCGTGCAGGCGCGACACAAGGCCCGTCCGGCCGTGTGCGTAAACAAGAGGAAGCAGTAGGACGTCGTGCAAGGGGCATAGTTTATTCATGGGGCGTAGCTTCGGAAGACAGCGTAAGAGGAGAGCGCTTGGCGAAAGCATGGCTGGGAGCGCTGGCGCGCCTACTCGTTGATGTACGTGGGGTAGATGAGCACGTGCCATTGGTGCATCCAGCAGCAGGCCCTAGCACGCTCGACATGAGGCCTCGCCGAGACCAGCCTCGCGCACGTACCAGAACATCCATAGGCAGACGCCCGTCATGCCCGAGAAGAGGACAAAGATGCTACAGAGAAGCCTCATGAGCGCCATGACGATGGCATGGCACGTACGACGCGTTCTCCTTGTCGACCTTGCCCGAGACGCGGGCGAAGATGCCGATGGCCATCGCGATGAGCGTGAGGACGAGGTACGTGATGCTTCCGTTGACGAAGGGCTCGGGGAGGCCCGACGACGTGGCGGCGACGATCGGCGATGGCATGATAGGACTCGACGGAACGCTGACTGGGCCAACTCGAAACCAATCTGCGCCTGCCCCTCCTTTATGCACCCAACGGTCCTTGAAACCAGGTCCCGTGTCTCTGACCGTAGCGTAAAGGACGATATTTGAACGAAGTTATTCGTTAAACCAAGGTAAAATAATTTAAACGAACCGACTTGAACCCCACGCAATCTATTTCCGCTCGTGTATCCGGACATCCGGAAATCGAGTACCAAGCAGGCACCCAAGAGCAACAGCAACATGAACGGGACGAGGGCCAAGACGACGCCGTTTGCCGAGAGCTCCATCTTTCTCGCACAACCGGCTCGCTGAGAGCGTCCTGTGATAACAAAGATCTTGTCCAGCTCCAATTGTTTGCGGACAAGAAATGGGTGTTTTTAGCCGCTTGCGTCGAAGAAACCGTTTGTTCGAATTCCAGATCCCAGCGTCTCCAGCTTCAACTAGAAAACTTCAACGTCCATGGCAACGCGGGCGCTCGAGACGATTGCGCGCTGGGGCGACGGTAGCGATGGTCCTACGATGGCTGTTGGCGGCGCCCCATTCGAGTGCAACCCGGCGCTCAATGCCAAGGTCGCGCTCTTACGCCACGAGCTCTGGACGCTCGAAGTGGACGCGATTGTCAACCCGACGAACGAGTCCCTCACGGATGCATCGGGCATCTGTGGCAGCATCCTCGACGCTGCGGGCGACCAGATATACGTCGAGTGCAACGCCAGCGATCCGTGCCGCACGGGCGACGCGGTCATGACGCGTGGGTGTCAGTTGCCTGCCAAGTAGGCTCGCGAATCCGCTTCAAACGACGTCCTACCTTTCTATAGGAAGATCATTCACACGGTGGGCCCGCGCTACAACGCCAAGTACGCGGCGGAGAATGCACTGCACGGCTGCTATCGCAATGCAATGCGCGTCGCCAAAGAAGAGCGCGTGCGCTCGATCGCGTTCCCGCCCGTCTACTCCAAGAAGAAGATGTACCCACGCGACGACGCGACGCACGTTGCGCTGCGGACGGTGCGCCGCTTCTTGGAGCACTACGCGGACGACTTTGATCTGATTGTCTTTTGCCTCGACGACACGAACGACATGCTCCTGTACGCGTCGCTCCTGCCGCTCTACTTTCCGCGGTCGATCGACGAGCTCGAGGCGTCGCGCGCGCAGTTTGCAGCGCACCGCGAGTGGACGCTCGGCGACGCGTTTGGCGAGCCGATCCTGGAGGAGCGCAAGATTCGCATCGCGCCGACCGTCTGCACCGAGAACCAGCTCGAAGCCAACACATCGCCCGGTACCGACGTTGTTGCCAACGACATGCATCAACTCGATTCCTAGTTGCGTTTACGCTGCTCGCCGACTCGTATGTGACCAAGGAGTTTTGCGCGATGACGGACAACCCGGACGACGACCGCATGGAGCTGGTCCGGAGCATTCGCGCCAAAACGAGCGCCGCGACCTCGGAGAAGCTGACGTACCAAACGGCCGTCGAGCAGGCCAAATACGAGGTGCTTGCTGCCACCAGCACACGGTGACGAGACGATTGCTGTAGGATTTCAGCGACATGGCCGAGCTGCAGCTCATCTACAAGGCCGGCGTCGACCACGCCGGTGTCCCCGTCGTTCTTGTCGTCGGGCGACACTTGCCCGCCCGCCACATTGACCTCGATCGCGTGCTCTTGTACGTGATCCACGTCATGGACGGCCTTGCCGACCGCGTCTACAACGTACGACACGGAGGATCGGTTGCTCTTGAAAAGACGGTGTTTGGCGTAGGTGGTCTATCTCCATGGCGGCGTTGACGAAGACAACCAGCCCAACGCGTCGTGGCTCAAGACGCTCTTCAAGACCTTCTCCTCCAAGTGCGTACAGCGTGACTTGCAGTCTTTTTGACGGACAGGTTGGCAGGTACCGCGACAACCTCAAGACGTTTTACGTGGTCGAAGCCACCATGTGGCTCAAGCTCGTCCTGTGGGTCGGCAAGTCCTTCTCGAGCCGCACGTTTGGCGCCAAGTCGCGTTCCTTGATGCGCCGACCGACTTGAACCGCGTCGCCTCGTCGCTCAAGCTGCCCGACGGGTCGTTTACGTATGCAGTCGGTTATCTCCGATCTATAGCATCCACGATTGGTGTAGGGACAACCGGCACGTGAGCAACCAAGACCACCACGAGACGTAGTGCATGTAGAGTGAATTCGCTAAGCAACTTAGTGGTTGATGCGCTTGGAGACGTTTTCGACGAGCGAGATCGAGTGGTTGTCCGAGCCCGCAATGAGCTACAAAGAAAAGCCCGTGAAGAGTTGTCAGCTACGACGCATGGAGTACCGTGTCCGAGTCGCCGTCGACGTCCAGCGTGTTCCAGGCGGCGCAACCACTGACGAGCGGCTCGACGACCAAACCGTCGACGCGCGCGTGGGTCTGGTACTCGATCTACGCAGCAGAAAGGAGCATTGGCTCGTTGAAGACATGGTGGTAAGTACCTTATCGGTCGGCTTCTTGGACGCGTGGAAGTCCCAGACGTTGACGACGTTGTCGTCGCTCGCCGTGTAAATGAAGCGCGGCGCCGACGGGTGGCACTGGATGCTACGAACTACACCAGAGTTCGCCCCGGCAATACGATCTCATAGGACGTACTCGGCTTTTTGTGCTTGCGCTCGGAGCGGACGGCCCCGTTGGCGAGCATGCGCCGGTCCCAAATGCTCAACCAGCCGTCGTGACTGCCCGTAAGGAGCAGCTCGGGGCGCGTCGGGTGCGTGGCCAAACTCGTAAAGGCGCCATTGCCACTACACGTCTCTCGTCTCCGGACCCGCTGTATCCAAGAGAACGTACTCGGCGCAGGTCGCGATCGGAAAGTTGGCGTTGGTCTTGAGATCCCACAACTGCAACTGACCGCTGGGGTTGGCGCTACGCAAGCTTGAGCACCGAGGGGTCGAGGACGCCAGATCGTACCCCGCCATGGCAATGTACGTATCGACGCCGAGCATCTTGACGTCGTGGATGGCCCAGCCGTCCACATCTATTCGACGTGTGAGCCGCTTAAGTATGATTGAAACCAACGCACCAATGACACGGATGTCGTCGAGACGGTTCAAGTTGGCCCACGCCGCTTGCCCGCACTCGGACGATGCAACGATCGAGGCCGTCGTCGTATCAACGTCCAAGCTCGTGATGCTGCCTGCCGTCAGGTTTTCCCATTGCGGAATCGCCTACAGGCACCATAGGATCTCAAACGCCAACGGAAAAGCAAGCGTACGACGTGCTTGAGCGCAAGCGAGGGGTCCGCCTTCACGATGTTCGTGCAGTAGATGCTGCCGTTGGAGCTGCCGCTAATGACAAAGTCCGAGTTGTTCAAGGACAAGAAGCCGAGCGACGCGACGTCGCCTTGGTGCTTCAAGGAGCAGAGGTCGACGATCTCGGTCTTGGACGAGGCGCTACAGCAACCAGGCATGAGCTATGTGAGGCTGCATGTCGGCCATGCATACTGAAACTCATCGGCGAGGTCCATTTGGTCGGCGGTGGGCATTTGCGGGAAGAGCACCGTGAGCGCATTCTCCTAGTCGTCATGGTCATGGCCGGCGACAGCAGCGGCGCGACGTCTACCTGCGAGTCGTAGCTGCCGGCGACGACCAGCGGCGACGCGTAGTCGTCTCCTTCGAGGCAGGCGGCGCCTTTCGCCCCATGGAGGAACTTGACCGCGCGGACCTTGCGCCCGACGTAGCTCGTGTGGACCGTCATCTTTGTATTGCTCCTGTTCATTCAAGGACGGTGCGTTAAATATTGGTCTCTTACTTGAAGATTGTATGCCTTTTAAAACTTTTGACGTATTCTATGTGCGCAGTGATTGGCTTTTTTTTCGTGTATTACATCCAATTGAAATGCTGCATTCGATTTTCCCACCTTGCGATCTTGCGTGGGAACCCTGCGTGTGAACAATCACAGAAGCTTAACAACCAAGGCCCAAGTGCTGCCCCACTTCCAATGCCATCGACATGAGCGGAGAGGGCGAAGGACCTTCATTTACTCGCCTCAATGATCACCCAGAACGAGTGCAGGTCGTTCCGAATTTGTCACCATTGGATTTGCTGCGACGTTTGCGCGGTCCAGTCTCCGTCCACTGCTGCTGCTTGGACGACGAGATCGAATAGGATGAGCGAGTCGACGCCGCTTCTGCCGCCCTCGCGCCCACTTGGCCGCGCTAATAGCTGGCGCTCGTACCTCATCTTTACGTGGGTGACTCCACTGCTGGAGCTCGGACGCTCTCGGCCTCTGGACGCGGACGATCTCTACGAGCTCGAGCCTGATTATCGCGCTGCCAACGTCGCCTCCCGCTTTGAAGAGTGCTGGCAACAAGAGCTGGCGCGGCCGTCGCCGTCCCTCGTGCGTGCGCTTTTCCGAGCGTTC